GCCAAACAACGATGGCTGCAACCAAAAAATAGCCACGCGTTGTGGCAGGCACCTGTAGTCTTAGCTACTTGGGAGGCAAAGGCGGGAGACTCGTTTGAGCCCAGGAGTCAGAGGTTGCTGTGAGCTATGATACCATAGCACTCCACCCAGGGGGACAGCTTGAGGCTCTGTCTCAAAAAATAAAATAAAATAAAATAAAATAAACATAGCTGTATGTATTTAATGCAAATATCTGGATGAGATTAAGGATAAGTATGCACTCATGAACCCAGTAAGGCCATTAACATATCTGTCACTTGGGTGGTACCTGTGACTCAGTGACTCACATACTGAAGGTGGCAGATTCAAACCCAGCCCCAGCCAAAAACTGAACGAAACGAAACAAACATATCTAGCCCCTCTCATGGTTTCACCAAACCTCCTTTTTATTATTACTTTTGCAGTCAAAACACTTAGCATATTAAGATCTCTCTAGCCAACTATTTTCTTTTTTTTTTTTGACACAGAGTCTCACTATGTTGCCCTGGGTAGAGTGCCCTGGTATCACAACTCACAGCAACCTCCAACTCTTGGGCTTAAGTGATTATCTTGCCTCAGCCTCCCAAAGTAGCTGGAACTATAGGCACCCGCCACAACGCCTGGCCATTTTTTTGTTGCAGTTGTCATTGTTTTTAGCAGGCCCCGGCTGGTTTTGAACCCGCCAGCCTCAGTGTATGTGGCTGGCGCCGTAACCACCGTGCTACAGATGCTGAGCCAGGTGTCATGATTTTCATAGTGCTATGCTTTGATTCTTTCTCTATCTTTTGTGTATCTGCTACAAGGTTTTTCTTTGTGATTACCACCAGGCTTACATAAAATTATTTTACAGTTACCCAATAGTCTAAGCTTATACTTTAATTTCAATTACATACAAAGTCTACAATTTTACTTCTCCTCTCCCATATTCATTTTATTGATGTCATAATTTATTTCTTTTTATATTGTGTAATCATTAACACATTTTGTAGTTATAATTATTTTTATTACTTTTGTCTTTTAACTTTTTATACAGGTTGTATGTAATTTACACGGTACTATTACAGTATAATATTCTGAATTTGACTATATAAATTGACCAGTTAGTTTTATACCTTCAAATGTTTTCATGTTGCTAATTAGCGTCCTTTCATTTTAACTTGAAGAACTCCCTTCAGCATTTCCTGTAAAGCAGGTCTAAGGTCCGGTGGTGATGGACTTCCTTAGCTTTTGTTTGTCTGGAAAAGTCTATCTCTCCTCAATTTCTGAAGTACAGCTTTGACAGGTATAGTATTTTTAGTCGGCAGGGTGCTTTTTGTCCACAGAATTTTGAATGTATCATCCCCCTCTCATCTGGCCTGCAAGGTTTCTGCTGGAAAATCCACTTATAGTCTTATAAAAGTTCTCTGTAGGTGATGAGTCATTTTTCTCTCGTTGCTTTCAGAATTCTCTTTATGTTTGACTTTTGACAATTTAATTATAACACGTTCTCTTTATGCTTTTGATAATTTGATTCTAACACGTCTCAGTGAGAATCTCTTTATGCTCAAGTATTTTGAGTTATTTATTTGGGCTTCAGGAGCTGAATGTTCATTTCCCTTTCGAGAGTTGAGAACTTTATTGTCATTATTTCCTTAAATAAGTTTTCTTTCTTTTTCTGCTCCTTTTTAGATTCCCATAAAGCAGATATTGGCCCAATTGATGGTGTCCAATAAATTTCTTAAATTTTTTCACTTTTTCATTTAAAGAAAATGGTTAAGATGGTAAATTTTGTGTTACATGGACTTTATCACAATTTTTAAAATGTTTGCTACATCTACACAGTGGAATCCAATGCAGTGACAAAAAGAAAGAGGCCAGGCATGGTGGCTCATGCTTGTAGTCCCAGCACTTTGTGAAGCTGGGGTAGATTACTTGAGGGCAGGAGTTAGAGAGCAGCTTGGGCAATATAGTGAGAACTCCATCTCTATAAATTAAAGTAAAAATTTGCCAGGCATGGTGACACGCACCTACAGTCCCAGCAGGAGGACTGCCTGAGCCCAGCAGTGCAAGACTACAGGAAGTTATGATTGGGCCAGTGCACCCTGTCATTAAAAAAAAAAAAGAATTTTGTTTTGAGACAGAGTCTCAAGCTAGCCCTGGGTAGAGTGCCATGGTGTCACAGCTCACAGCAACCTCAAACTCTTGAGTTTAGAGATTCTGTTGTGTCAGCCTCCCAGTAGCTGGGACTACAAGCGCCCGCCGCAATGCCCAGCTATTCTTTGTTGCAATTGTCATTGTTGTTTTAGCTGGCCCAGGCCGGATTCGAACCCACCAGCCTCAGTGTATGTGGATGGCGCTGTAACCACTGTGCTATGAGCGCCGAGCCAAAAAAAAAAAAAAGAATTTTTTTAAGGACTTACAGGAAACAATCTCTATTGAAAAACTGCAAGGCTGGCTTGGCGCCTGTGACTCAAGCACCTAAGGCACCAGCCACATACACCAGAGCTGGCGGATTCCAATCCAGCCCCAGCCTGCCAAACATGGAGGCTGCAACCAAAAAATAGCTGGCGTTGTGGCGGGTGCCTGTAGTCCCAGCTACTAGGAAGCAGAGGCAGAATTGCTTGAGCCCAGGAGTTGGAGGTTGCTATGAGCTGTGACGCCACAATACTCTACCCAGGGCGACAGCTTGAGGCTCTGTCTCAAAAAAAAAAAAAAAAAAAAAAGTTCAAGCAAGAGAGACCTTCATCTCTACAAAAAACAAAAAAATTAGCCAGGAGTCAGGTAGTCCCAGCTACACAAGTCAAAACTACCTAGAGGCTGAGACAGGAAGATCATTTGAACTCAGGAATTTGAGGTTGCAGTGAGCTAAGATACTGCCACTGCATTCTAACCTGGGCAACTCTTTTTTGTTTTCTTCTTGTCTCAAAAAGAAAAAAAGAAAACAGAACATGACTACTCCCACCCCCACTGTACCATTGCTCTCTTCCAGTCACTAGTTTCCCATCCAACCCCCAACTGAAAGCACTATCCTGATTGGTAAAAGTTCTGCCTGCTTTTGTACATTATATGAGCAGAATCACACAGTATGTGCATTTCTGGGTCTGGCACCTCTCTCGAATTGCGCTTGTGACATTCATCCATACTGCACACAGTTGCACATGGGTCATTTTTTCTTTTAGACAGAGTCTCACTTTGTCGCCCTTGGTAGAGTGCTCTGGCATCACAGGTCACACCAACCTAACTCTTGGGCTTAAGCGAGTCTCTTGCCTCAGCTTTCGAAGTAGGTGGGACTACAGGCGCCCACCAAAATGTCTGGCTATTTTTTTTTTTGGCTGTAGCTGTCATTGTTGCTTAGCAGGCCCCAGCCGGGTTCAAACCGCCACCCAGGTGTATGTGGTCGACGCCCTTGCCGATTGAGCTACAGATGCATCCCACATGGGTCATTTTCATTGCTGATAGTATTCCATTAATTCATCCAGCCTTTCTGAATGAGAAAGGAAGACATTAGTGTTTTTGATTAGGAGTCACATGGTCTGACTTGTAATTTTTTAAAATTCAATTCGGGGCTTGGCGCCTGTGGCTCAGCAGTTTGGGCTCCGGCCACATACACTGGGGCTGGCGGATAGAACCCGGCCGGGCCTGTTAAACAACAATGACAACTACAACAACAAAAATAGCCAGGCGTTGTGGCAGACGCCTGTAGTTCCAGCTACTTGGGAGGCTGAGGCAAGAGAATCGCTTAAGCCCAAGAGTCAGAGGTTGCTGTGAGCTGTGACGCCACAGCACTCTTCCGAGAGCGACATAGGGAGACTGTGTCAAAAAAAAAAAACAAAAAAACAAACAAAAAAAAACTCCGTTCGGGGTGGAGTTGCCTACGGGAAGGTGCCATACTTCATTGGCTATTCCCAAATGGTGGACATTCCACCTGCTCTCAGTTTTAGACTCAAGCTACTTCCATGTTTCTTCCTCTCCCAAAATTCCAACCGGTATTTTCCCGATTAAAACCCTTACATTTCTCCTTCCTTAAAAACCGTAGTAAAACGCAATCTCACTGGATCCAGGATTACCCGCTCAGACCTCCAGCCTGAGGCATTTTTCCACTTTTCAAAGGTGCTTGGAAGAGCAACTGGTTTTAAGAAGGGAGGCGCATGACCCGCGTGCTTCTGCCAAACACTTTAGCAGACGAGGCTCGGCAGGTCCAGGGGTCCGCGAGAGACGTGTCGAAGACGGTTCTCAGGAGCGCAGTCCTAAGAGCCACCCCACTCCGTCCCCAGGATCGACCGTACCGTACCCGGTATGCCTCAAGGAACGGAGTTCCAAAGAAAATTAGGAGGAAAGGGGAAACTGCAGTAACCTCGCAGCCGGAGCTCTCGCCTCGGGGCACTCCAGACCGCGTCCAGGCGGAGTTAGACAACCCGCGCCTGCGCATAGCTCCCCGCGCGGAACCCGCGTAAGTTTTCCTTCCCACGACCTCCTCTTCGGCGCCTGCGCACCGGATGCCGCTTCTCGCAGGCCTGCGAAGCTGGAGTCCCTAGATAACCTTTTTGCCCACTGAGACGAAAGAAATTTGCTAGTTCTTGTATCCCTCGCTCCGCTCCCTTCCCAATCTCCGAGGAATATCATAAATGTCCGAACTCAATTCACCCCAGCGGGAGGGGCCCCCATGCTTGTGGCTTTCTGGGCGCTTACCGGAGCCCAGGTATCCAGGAGGATTGTGGGTGGGGGAACCGCGCTCACGTGGCGAGCTTCCGCCAATCGGCGCGCAGACCGCACTTTGCGGCTCGGCTTCAAACAAACTACCGTGAGCCCTGAGCGGCCTCTGGGGCCCCGCCCCCCTAGGCCAAGTCTGGGGCCCCGCGAGGCCGCAAGAAGGGTGGGAGCACCCAGGGGCAGGGGCGGGGGCGGGGGCGGGGCGGCGGGGTCGAGTGACGGCCCGCCTCACCTATTCTGGACGCGGGCCGCGGCGCGGGCGCAGCGGGGTGGGCCCCGCAGCCAATGGGCGGGGGCGGAGGGCGGCCCGGCCGGCGGGGAGGGAGAGCCCGCGGCCGGGGGACGCGGGGGGAGCAGGAGGCGGGCTCCCAATCCAGTTCCATCCGGTTCTCCCACCGCCCCCGCCGCGGGTCTCAGCAGCACGGGCGGCGGGAGGAGCGGCAGCGGCCAGGCAGCGCAGGTTCGTGAAGGCTCTCGGCACGCCGCGGCCCGCAGGCACCCGGCACGCGCCTAGCCCGCCGCCAAGATGCCGAAGAGGAAGGTGAGTGGCGGCCGCGGCCCGCACACGCCCCCTCGCACCGCCGCCGGCCTCCCTCCCGGGCCCCCGCGCAACACAGGCCCTGCGGAGCCCACGACAGCGCCGGGCCCGGGAGCCGCTGGGAGGCCCGCGGGCGCCCGGGGGGCGGCTGTTCTGGAACGTTCGGCTGCCGGAGAAGCCGAGGGGGCGATTCGAACGGGGCGGCGGGAAGCTGCTGACGTCACGCGGCTGGGCATTGTTCTCTCGCGCGGGCGGGCGGGCGGGCGAGGGGCGCGCGGCGACTTTGTTCGCGGATCGCGCCCATCCGCACGTCTCTCTTCCCGCAGGTCAGCTCTGCCGAAGGTGCGGGGAAGGAAGAGGTGAGCGCGCCGGGCCTCTGCCTAGGGGGGGTGGGCTTGCCGCGAACTGTGCTCCTTCTCTCCTCGCTGATTGTCCTTTTTCTCTTTCAAAGCCCAAGAGGAGGTCGGCGCGGTTGTCAGCTGTAAGTAAAGTGAACCCTGTAGCCTCTTGTGTTCGCCTCGTGCGATCGTCCCATTGCAGAAACTTAGTGCTACTTTTGCCTTTCAGAAACCTGCTCCTGCGAAAGTGGAAACGAAGCCAAAAAAGGCAGCAGCAAGGGTAGGTTTCAAAACTTAAGTCAAGATACAGTGGTGTCTCAGGCCACCGTGTTACTTAATGCCTGACTTTTTATTTCATTTAACTATTTGAATTTTCTTGGTACTTTAGATTATTTTTCTCCTCACCCCGGTGAAAAATGTAATGGATATATTTACGCTGCCACATTGGAATATGTTATCACATTTAAGCTGCTGCAGAATTTAGGAAACTTAAGACGACAGAAAATATTAAATATTAACTTAAGCCTACAAAGGAGATTCGTTCTGTGTGTTGTGTACATCGTGGTTGGTGCTGCTTTTCATTGCATGGTTGTACTTCCTCTCTTGACAATAAAAAAGCCGAGATAGGACTGAGGCCAAGAGAAAGGCAATGTGTAGGTTTTTATGTATGTGCAGTTCCCAAACCAAGATAAGGGGATCTTAATTTGGGGGGGGATGGGGGAGATCAAGACTTAACGCTCTTTGATAATATAAATGTCGGTGTTCCCTAAGTATTTTATTTGCAGTTGTGAAATCCGTGATGGGAGTTGTTCCGGAATAAATTCATCATTCCATGAATCTGATTACAGGTCTTGGGAATGAAGTTGTTCTTGTGTATATCTATGCTAATTTGTTTGGAAAACCAGAAGGCCTGTTAAGACACTTGTAAACTCTGTGTTTGTGTATAGCATTGAAACCACTTTCTTTAAAGCTCTCTTCACATTCTAATTTTGGGTTAAAAATTAGATGAGAATTTGAAACCTCTTCGAAAAAGAAAAAAATGTTTAATGCCATCACTTTTCTCCTGAATGTGGGTGGAAGTTAGCACTGCATGATAGTCAAAAAAAATGAGATTAATTTTTTTACATTGAGGAGCTCTTGGATAACTGTTAAATTTGTCCTTGTTAAATGAAGGGAAATTCCAAAGGATTTCTTCTCTCTCTCTTTTTTTTTTATTTAAACCTACAGAGCTGAATGTAAAAACCTTAAGTACGATTACTTCTGTTGTGATCCTTTTAAAAATAAAGGTTCGAGGAAGGTATAGGTATAGTATGTCAAATTAGAATTTCTCATAGCAGAAGACAAGGCAATAATTATCTGTGCACAATGAGTAGGAAGGAAATTTCACGAAGGCTCAGAAAATTAGCCAACATTGTTCCAAAATGTTGACGTGTATTTTTTTACTGTTACACCCAATTTTTGTGATTCTTTGCTTTTTAAATAAGTCACTGAAATATTTGCCTGTTTTCCTCTTAAAGTTTTCTTTCTTTGACCATCTTGATCTCCTGTAAAATAATTTTTTTAAATGAAAGCAGTTAAAGTTACCACCCAGTAGGTTTGGAACATCAGATGTAATTTTCTTTTTTCCTCTTGGGGAGAGGCTAACAGGTAAGTCTTTGTGTCTGTGTTGTTTGAGGAACAAACATAAGTTTAGCTTTCTCAAAAGAAAAATGGGAGGAAGATGTTTTCTCTATTTTTACAAGTAGTTTCCAAAATACACCTTGGTCTTTATAATTGATCAGGCTTTATTTAAAGCCTCAAACAGAAAAAAAAAAAAAAAGCCTCAACAGAAGGTAAAAGGTAAGCATTTGATGTGTTATAAACACACTGTTGTCTTTTTTTCTTTATTTTTTAGTTTTTGGCCAGGGCTGGGCTTGAACCCACCATCTCCGGCATATGAGACCAGTGCCCTACCCTTTTGAGCCACAGGCGCTGCCCAGACACATTGTTTTCAAAGCTCATCTGTCACACTGTGCTTCTGAATTGTTTCATTTCCTTAGAAGTAAATATTCTAAAGGGTGAAACATTATATACTTAGGAAAACTATTTTGTTTCACTTCTCATGTAGCTTATCTTTTCTTTGGCTATTAATGGTTACAAAGGGAATTATTTCTAGTCCAGATACTGTATGTTCTCTTTTAACTTTTTCTGGGCTTTTATTTTTATGTTCTTGGATAGTGGTTATAAAATGAATGAGAAATTTTTAAGAATCAGGCTTGAGTACAGAAGCAGCATTCCATGGTAGCAATGTGTGTAGCAGTGTTACTTCAAATATATTTGTTTATATGTATAATTTGTTATCCAAAAGATGTAGAATTATTAGAAGGTGTTATGTTGTATCTATCTATGGATGCCATTGTTGATACAGACTATTATGCAGTGATTTTTTTTTTTACTATTGAAATTCTGAAGTCTGGGTACATGTCTTTATGGCCCTTTAGCTCAAGTAAGTGGTCATTGCCCATAGAGGTCTTTTATACCACCTCCTGGGCAATGAATGTAGCTATTGCTACATTTTTATTTACAAGAATAAAATGTTACAGTTTTGTTAAGCTTCTCCTACCATTGATGGATGGGTATCCAAAAGTGTTGTTTCTTTCATATTGCTTTAAAATGGGTTAAATTTTGGACTTAGGTATCAAGTTATATTGTCATACCTGTGTTTTTGAGATGTTTTTTATAACCAAAATTCACATTTTATTTAGATTGAAATAAACTATACAAAATTGATTTTCTTCACCAAAAATAATAGCAGTATTTTCCACAAAACACTTGTTTTGTAGCTTTTCCAGGTTTTGTTTATAAGTCAAGACGAGGAAGTATATAAAGTCATGGAAAAATCTTTTTTTTGAGACAGAACCTCAGTCTGCCACCCTCTATAGAGTGCTGTGACATCACAGCTCACAGCAGCCTCCAACTCTTGGGCTTAAGCAATTCTCTCGCCTCAGCCTCCCAAGTAACTGGGACTACAGGCACCTGCCGCAACGCTCAGCTATTTTTTTATTGTAGTAGTTGTTGTTTGGAAGGCCTGGGCTGGATTTGAACCCATCAGCTCTGATGTATGTGGCTGGTGCCTTAGCTGCTTGAGCTACAGGTGCCAAGCCATTTGAGATTTTCAAACACAAAAGTAAAAGTGATAAATTCAGAATTGATCCTTTTAGCTACCCCTTATATCAAGGGATTACCTGTACCAGGATAGTCAGTTTTGTTTTGTTTTTTTTCAGGTGAATTGTCTTGGTGTGAGAATAAAGGTCTTGTTGGGGTGATGGTAATTTGGTCATTGTTCATGCTCAAAAGAAATTTAGGGATGAGTAGAATATGTTGGAAGATTCTCCAACATTATCCACTTAATTAGTTCTGTTGCACGGAACTACGGACAGTAAAGGGTAATGGTGACAGCGGTGGTGAAGCATAGCTCAGGCTTTAGGATTTATCGTCATGGGGCTAATGAGGCTTGACGTGCAAGTACTATTACAATCTTCTTAGCATACGTTGTTTTCCTGATTACGGGAAGTTGCCTTTAAGTTGTTTTGTCTAAAAGGTGTATCCTTGTCCCTACACGTTGGTGTGTTATGTAACATTAACATGGCTGTCTATGCCAGGTTAGAAGATGAAAGTTAAAAGTAAAGTTTATACTTAAAATGTGTCATTCTTACTCTATCATAGGATAAATCTTCAGACAAAAAAGTGCAACCGAAAGGGAAAAGAGGAGCAAAGGGAAAGCAGGCTGAAGTGGCCAACCAAGAAACTAAAGAAGATTTACCAGCAGAAAACGGAGAAACTAAAACCGAGGAGGTCAGAAATGTGTGTGTGTGTTACTGATTTTGACTCTGAACAGAGATAGTAAATTGTTTTTTTGTTTGTTTTGTTTTGTTGAGACAGAGTCCTACTTTATGCAAGTACTACTTGCATAAAGTGGTATGACATCACAGCTCACAGCAACCTCCAACTCCTGGGCTTAGGTGATTTTCTTACCTCAACCTCCCGAATAGCTGGGACTACAGGCGCCCGCCACAATGCCCGGCTATTTTTTTGTTGCAGTTTGGTTGGGGAGGGGTTTGAACCCACCCTCAGTGTATGGGGCCAGGGCCCTACTCACTGAGCCACAGGTGCTGCCCATAAATTATATATTTTTATATAGCAGATAAAGTTAAAGTTTTTATTATAATATTGAACAAAGTTTTGTGCAGTATCCCAAAGTGAATGGACAGATTTACTATGAATTAGGGCTGGGCACAGTGGCTCACACCTGTAATCCCAGCACTCAGGGAGGCTGAGGCTTGAGCTCAGGAGTTGAAGACCAGCCTGAGCCCAGAGTGAGACCTCACCTCTAAAAATAGCCAGGCCTTTGGCAGATGCTCATACTTCCAGCTACTTGCTGAAGCAAGAGAATGACGTAAGCCCAAGAGTTTGAGGTTGCTGTAATGACACCATGGCACTCTGCTGAGGGTGACAAAGTAAGACTTGTCTCAAAAAAAAAAAGGGAGGCGCCAGTGGCTCAGTGAGTAGGGCGCCAGCCCCATATACCTAGGGTGGCGGTTCAAACCCAGCCCTGGCCAAAATGCAACAAAAAAATAGCCGGGTGTTACAGCAGGTGCCTATAGTCGCAGCTACTTGGAAGGCTAAGGCGAGAGAATCACCTAAGCCCAAGAGCTAAAGGTTGCTATGAGCTGTGACGCCATGGCACTCTATGGAGGGCAACAAAGTGAGACTTAGTCTCTTGGGGGAAAAAGAAAACATTTTCTATTAATTAGATTTCATTTGAAAGTATATGTGTCAGTATCTTAAGTTCATTTCCCTTATTTGCACTGTTCCTGGCATATTTTTCCCACTTCAATTTCTCTTTTTTTTTTTTTTTTTGCAGTTTTTGGCTGGGGCTGGGCTTGAACCACCTCTGGCATATGGGCAAATGGGGCTGGCACCCTCGCTACTCCTTTGAGCCACAGGTGCTGCCACCCCCCACTTGATTTCTAATCAAGAAAACATTCTTGTGTTTTTCTTAAAAGTGACACCTATTCAGAACTAAGTGATAACCTAGATCAAGCAAATAAAAAGACTGGTGTCATAAGTCTTCATTCTTTTAAGATACAGGACAAAGGCTTTTTTTTTTTTTTTTTTGGTTAAGGGAAGCAGTGGGAGTAGAGAAGAAGCCGAGGAAGTCTAAACTAGTTGTGATGAATTAGTTGTAAACACCAGCACTCATATAAGCCTAGAGGCACTTTTTCTTTAAAAAAGAAAAAACTGCAAAGTCTTGATAAAATTGCAGTGTGGCCCAGGCTGGAGTACAAGAGTGCAACAGTCCTAGCTCACTGTGACCTGAGATGTTGGGCTGATCCTCCCACCTCTCTCCTGAATAGCTAGGACTACAGGCTTGTGTAGCCATGCCTAACTAATGTTAAAAATTATGTTTTTATAGAGATGGGGCCATAACATGTTGCCCTGACTGGTTTTGAACTCCTAGTTCAAAGAGGAGCCACAGGCTCCTTTGAGCCTCTTTAGTGATGCTCTCCCATTGGCCTCCCAAAGAGCTGGGATTACAGGGATGAGCCCTTGTACCTAATCTGATACACTTTTCTAAAACCAAGCCCTTTTTTTGAGACAGAGCCTTAAACTGTCGCCCTGGGTAGAGTGCCACAGCATCACAGCTCACAGGAACCTCCAACTCCTGGGCTTAAGCAATTCTCTTACCTCAGCTTCCCAAGTACCTGGGACTACAGACGCCTGGCTGTTTTTTGTTTGCACTTGTCATTGTTGTTTGGCAGGCCCAGGCTGGGTTTGAATCCACTAGCTCTGGTGTATGTGGCTGGCACCTTATCCATTTGAGCTACAAGTGCCGAGCCTAAAACCAAGCCTTTTGATTTTTTTCAATCCTTTATTTTGTTATATTGGCTAAGCCTAAAAGATGAGTAATTTAGGGTATTGATTTTTAAGCTTTGATAGTTATGGATCACATTCCTAAGTGATTAATCCTAAATTAGGAAATTTACTGTCATAGTTTGTCAGTTTTTTACTTCCTAATTCTAACAACCGATCAAATACGGTCATAGTAAAGTTACACACATTATTGAATGCCAATTGTAAAGAAAACTTTGTAGCATATGTTGTAATCACATTATAGTTGATTCTCCTTATTCATAATTAATAGTCTTTTATAAGGTTGCCACAAATACTGAACCATTGTACCTGGGAGAAATAAGGTTTATGTTACTGTGAGCCTGTCACAATATTTTCATCAACTGATCAGTACACGACTTTGTATTATGTGTTTCCATTTAGAGATACCTCATTTACTGTGGTAACATTGAACTCAGAGCCAACCACATTGTAATTCAAGCCTGAACATAGCTATCCGGTGCACGTGCATTCTCTGTGTGGCACATCATTGCCCTTAGCAAGGCTAAGTAGCTTTTGGACACTGCTTGGGGTCCGTTTTAAAGAGCAAGATTACCACCAAAACCACAAAGATGTGAAATGTGCAGCACTAAACAGATCAAAAAGAAGACATTTGTTTACAGTATTAAGAGCTGAAACAAGACAGAGTAACCTCATGGGAGCATGTATATGGGGCAACTCAACATTTTTTTTTTGCTGCTTTATATACCCACATGACCATGGTAGTGCCGTTGAGTATTGATTTGGAGGTTACCAAAGTATTTTAACTAAGAGTAGATGAATTTGCACATACTGAATCTACACACAATGAGGATAGACTTTTTGAAGACCTAGTAAATTATACATAAATATAACCTACATTGTGTTAAGTGCTAAAGATCACAAAACTGATAGCAATGAGAAAATACTTGATCCATGATTTTCCTTTTATTTTCAGAATCCAGCCGCTGATGAAGCAGGAGAGAAAGAAGCCAAGTCTGATTAATGTCATATACCATGTCTTATCAGTGGTCCCTGTCTCCCTTCTTGTACAATCCAGAGGAATATTTTTATCAACTATTTTGTAAATGCAAGTTTTTTAGTAGCTCTAG